AATTTTGATGTGGCCTAACAAGGGTCTTTGTAGATTCCACAGGCATCTCAGGAGCTAAAATGGCCCTTTTGCATTGTTATAGGTTATGTCAGGGCCGTTCTCCCTCATCTGGAGAAGTCACTGAACATGGCCTCTGAAAGGGAGCATGGTGTTGGGTGAGGTGGCTCTCTGAGGCTGGAGGACAAGTCCTTCATTGAAGGGGGTTCTGGGCCATCCCAGGTTCAATACACATGCTACGCCAGAATTGTTCATTTGCTTCTCAGCATCTTGCACTCATTGATAAAACCCCTGAGGATTGGATGTGCCTCATGTGGTTCTGTGTCATTGAAACATAGCATACCACATGGGAATAAACACTGGTTAAACGACAGTGGAATTAAAAGGGACAATAACTGGTTATTTGGCTATTGGCAAACTTAAATACTATGAAGAAAGGCTTCTTGAGATGTGGGAAACTCCACAAAGATTCATCTATGTTTATATTGTTATATTAAATTATGAGTAATTTTTCTTTTTGGAAGTAACAAGTCACTATGAGCTGATAAACAGTACTAAGCTAATCTTTAACAGTGTTTTGAATTTTCAGTAGATGAGATTCTTTAGCACTAATTTATAAAGAAAGACTAGAGGATTTGGTGTGGGATGGATTCAACTAATTTATGAAATACTACTGAGAATTCAAATAATGAAAATTTCTCCTTAAATAAATGTGATAACGCACTATATTTTTTCCTTGTGTAGCTCCCTAAGATAGCATCCATTTCCATCCAGCAGAGGGCATAGCTGCACGTAGTTATAGATGGAGAAATAACTTTTAAAAGCAAATACAATTGCATAATCTCACAGCCCTACGCTAGTGCATGGGTTATCACATGAAAATGGGCATTATTATACATCTGAAGTTTAATAATGTGTTGTTTGTAGACTGCATTTGCAACTCTATTTTCACATTTTTTAATGTTCTATCTTCAAAAGCTCAGGATTAAATTAATCTCTAAATAATACTGTTAATTTCAACTGCCTAAAATCCTGTGAGACCTATGTGTAAGGCTATTTTAGAGCCCAGTTTCACTTATGGTATGTATTCTCATCTCTTGAGGTATTTGATAGGGCAGGATAGAAAAATATAGCTTCCTATACTGCACAGTATTCCCCTCATAGTTTTGTGAAAATCAGGTTCATGGTGCTCTCCCATTGTTTTCAGATTTTGATTGGCATGGATAGTGCACATAATGAGCTCATCTGGTGAAATGGACTAAAACCTGTTCTAGGGAATGAAAGATCTGGCTTTGTGTCTTACTGATTGTGCCACTTTAGTCAAGTAACCACTTCTCAGAGCATCTCTGCTTTCATCTGTTACCAGAGGGATGGTGATGCCCACTGGGCCCTCTTCATACATGGGTGACGTGTGCTCACAGTGTAAGAGCCATGGACAGTGCCCATCAGATGCCTGGGGTCATGTGTGTCACAGCACAGAATTAACTGAAGCAATGTCATGAAGTGCCCACTGGATGGTGGTCAGTCTCTAGTCTTCTGTGCAGAATTTGAAAGAATCTCCAGGTTTGGGGGCAATTCAGAGGAGTGGGGGGAAGAGGTGTCCAGGAATTTGATTTCTGCTAATCTGAGGAGAAGGGATTTGATTAGTATGCAGAACTTATTTTTACCACAACCTGGTAAAGCTTGTCAATCTTCGGATACGTTTCTTACTTTAAGTACATTTCTAATTTCATTGTTGGGAATTCATCCTTTGACAATAGTTCAAAACGACAAAAGGACATAATAGCTACCTATGTGTAGATGTTTATTTATGACAGTATTACTTCTGGATAATTAGCGAAATTGGAAGCAATCTAGGAACATGGCAGTCATAAACATTAAAACTATGATTATTACAGAGGCACATGGTAAGTAAATCTGATGAGTGGTAAGTCAAGTGAAAGCAAAATGAATTACGTTTCATGTTAATAAGTATGTAAAAATTGAAAGCATATGTGGCGGGGAAAGAAAGGCAAGAAAGATGGAATGGTAATAACCGCTGACATGCCAGAGAGTTAGCAGTCTCTGTCTTTCTGTATCTCTTTCTGTATCTCTCCTTCCGAAATCACATTATTGCTGTTATAACGATACTTGCAAAACACGACACTTCTAAAAAGATTTTCATACTTGGTTTGAAAAACAATATTTAAATGGCTTACTTAACTATGCCATTTAAATAAGAATATGCTTTTTTTGTTAACATTTTTAACTGATTAAAATATTAAACATGAAGAGATCAATTTTTTTTTCCTTTCTGATCTTTACTCATTGAAACACACAAAACAAGAGCAGCGAAACCATTTTGGCTAGAATTCTTTCTTCGCATTACATACTTTCCTGTTTTCCTCCAGCAGTTTCCTGGGCATATCTCACTCTTTCCTATCACAGGCTTGCCATGATGACTATCAATTTCTCTTCCACGCAGCGTACAGTGATGTCCTCATGTGCAGTTCAACTGTCGCAGGAGTGGGGACCCTTTTTTCTGCCAAGAGCTATTTGGATATTTATAACATCATCTGTGGGCCATACAAAATTGTCAACTCAAAAATTAGTTGGTTAAACAGTTCATTAACTCACCCCTAATGCCTTGAGGGCCGGACTAAATGATTTTGTGGGTTTTATCCAGCCTGCGGCTGGACGCTCCCCAGCCCTGAACTTAACAGGGTTATTTGCCTCTACAAGGCATGATCAAACCTCCTCTGAGTTTTGATTCCTTGAATCTTTTTTTTTATAGGTTTTCTTTTTTTGTTGTTTTTTTTCCTTTCTTGTAGTCTCTTAGGCATTATTTTTGTGGTTGCCAGTGTCCCAGACCTTTGGCAGCCTTACTTTTTTTCTAACCTCCTAACAAATTTGCTGCTGCTAATATGCCTTGCTAGAAAATCACACAATTGAGTTTACTAGAATTATGTTGTTCAGAGAGCTCCACGGGGCTTTTGGAAGTGTTTGGACAGTGGGGAAAGGACCATATCTATTTTGGTTGCTCAGAGGTGTTTTGACTTATTTCTTAGCTCCTGGCTGTTTCCTGGCTATGTGGAGGTCTCAGGGAAATGACCTATCTATGTACAAGCTACCTTGGCTACAGGCAAAATAAAATGCTGGCTCTCGTAGTAGTAAATCCAGTAGACCTCAACAAATCAATGGAAACTGAAAGCAGAGCCAAGCAATCAATAGTCATCAAAAACCTCATGCCTGCGTCTGCTCCATCCTTTTTCCTTGTCACTCCATCCTTTCCATTCATCCCGGTCCAAATGTCTTCCTATTGTAGTTTAGAAAGGAGCTACTGGACAAGGATAAGCAGAAATTATACCAAACAAATTAGGGACTAATAATGTATGCATTGCAAGGTTCATTTCCCTTAGCCAACCGATAAATAGCACATCTTTTAAACATACAGGACATGTTTTAAACATATAATCAGGTTGCTAGATGCAATGGAGACTCAAAAGAAGTAGGCGTTTATGTTCCCTACCCTCATTTTTCCCCTCTTAATCCTTACCGAAGGATATTTTCCCATTGATTTTTAGAAAGAGTGGAAGGGAGGGTGGGGAGAGAAAAACACTGATGTGAGAGAGACACATCAACTAGTTGCCTCCCGCATGCACTCCGACTGGGGCAGGGAACAAATCTGCAATCCAGGTACATGCCCTTGACTGGGAACTGAACTTGTGACCCTTTAGTGTGTGGGCTGATGCTCTACCATTGAGTCATGCGGGCCAGGACCCTACCCTTATTTATTTTTTTTTTAATAAAAGGATTAACTGCAAGAGTAAAGTGGACCGTTTGTGCAATTAAAATAGAATTAAATGTAATTAAATTAAATAACACATAACTCTCTGGGAATCCAGATGTTAAGTAAACTCAGAACCCAGGGTCAGTGCTATTTTCTTTTAGTTCTGGTGTCTAAAGTAAGATTCAAATTCAATGTTATCCACTATAGATGTAAGGGCACTTTTTTGAAGAGCATTTCTTCCATAACTTATTGAACTCCACCCTACCCTTGAAGGTATTTATGTACTTCCAGGGCTTAGGAAAAGTTTTTATACTTTCCAGCCTTCTTACTCCAAAAAGTAATCAACAAAATGGGTAATAACTCTAAAAGAAAATAAAGCAAATCTACCCCTTAATCTTCAGAGCAGTGATTGAAAGACAGCTTATAATGGGACATATTTTTTTGGTTTCTTTTGTTTAATTCTGAAAAAAAACCTTACAGGTTCCATGGATCAGTGTGTGAGAAGCGGCCTACCCTTAGATTCATGTATGAGAAATAGCCATCTTCTAAGAATCAATGCAAGCCGCTAGACAGTGTTTTTAACAAGAAAAATCTTTAATTTTGGTCAGTACAGGGAATAAATACTGGAGTCACAGAACAACGTGCATGAACAGGATACAACAGTTCATAAAAAATGAATAACAATGCACACAACTTTCTCAAACATTCAGTCACCTAAATATAAAAGCACAGATGCATGGGGGGCGGGGGGGAGAGAAACTGTATCTAACATTGAAACTACTACAGGACTCCATCAACAACCCTTAGTAAAAACTACCGCACTGAGAAACTTGGCAATCATAAAACCACATCAACTCACAAGTCTGAATGGTGCATAAACATAGGAAAAGCATGTGTATGAATGCCCTACACACCACAGATTCTAGATAGACACAGGTTTATACGGATACCATAGCGTTATACTTTAAGGAAAGATTTCCATGTATAACAGCACATAAACTCTTATAAAAATAACCTGACCCTAAATGACATTTTAGCAACAAAGTAATTAGATGTTAGAATTTCCAAAGTTAAGAAGAAGGAGAAGGAGAAGGAGAAGAAGAAAAAGGAACACACACACACAAAAGGCAAATCGTGACAAAAGTATGCATTAATTTTCAGGATAGCTTCCTCTTCCCAATTAAATGGCCCTGTATAAAAAGTTGCTGGAAAAATATAAAACTGAATACTGTACATTTACACTTGAGTCCAAGCCATTCTGAACATGGCAGCAACCAACAGTTCAGTTACCTTTCCTACTCACTGTTTTCTCCTCTGGAGGGTCATGATTGGAGTCTGTCATTTGTGGTGTGGGAGCGTTTTCACTACCCGTGGGAGAGACTCCTTTTTCATGTCCCTCTGAGCTGGGGGAGTCCTTATTACTGGTCCCTGGAGAAGAAGGAAAGCCATCTTCGGTTATGTCCCCCTCCCTGTGACATCCAGACCCAGGTGTCCTCAGCGGGGAGGAACTGCCATGGCTTGACCCATTGGCCAGCGGACTGCAGTCTTTACCTGGGGCCTCTGCCTGTCCCTCAGGTTCAGGCGTTGCCCTGCTGGTGCTTGGGGCTGGGGCTGGAGGCTGCTGCTCTTGGTACTGAGCCAGCTGCTGGTGAGTCTCCTTCAGTTGCTGCTGAAGAACCAGAATGGTACTCTGCATGTCCTCCACTTCTTCCTCCAGTTGAACGATGAAGTCACTCAGTTCATCCGAGCTGCTCTTAAGCTCCTCGCTGTATTTCTTCTGGAGAGCCAGCTCTGCTTCCAGCTGTGCAATGAGTTCCTGGTTCACCTGTCTTCCCAGCTTCTGATTTTCCTGGATGAGCATGCGGCATCTCGCCATCAGGTCTTTGCCTGTCTGGCTGGCCGGAGTGAACTTCCAGGCGCTCAGTTCATCCTGGGTTTCTCCCAGTTTGGTTTTGGTGTTTTCCAGCTCATCTTTCATTTTGAGGAAGAAGAAGTTGATGGCGGGGTCTGCCAGGGCTGATGCCAGCTGGCCAGCACCGGGCTGCTGGAGGTGCTGGATCTGAGCATAATACTCCTCTATCTCTTGCTCATTGGTTGCCAGGCGCATGACCAGGATGTCTTTTCTGTATGCAGACGCTTGCTGCTGCTGCCTCAGTTTCTCCCCTGACTCCCTCAAGCCGGTTATGTTGGAGTTCAACTCTGTGTACTTGTCCTCCAAAGCTTGCACGTAAGCCTCATACTGTTTCCATCTTAAAATTAACTCATCTCGGGCCATGACTTTAAAGTCTGTCTCACTCAGGCGAACCTTTTTGGGAAGAGGTTCCTCGGTGGTCATCTCGAGTCCTCTGCAGATGGCGGTCCCACAACCGCGGCACAGTCCCGTCGGCTGAGGCCACGCCGCCCGATCGCCACCCACGTGGCCCAATGGTTCCTGCAACTGCCGGGCTGGTCTGATGCTCCCCTTTATTTGTGGGTCTTGAAGCCGCAAAATGGCGCCTAGGGAGGAAGTAAGGCACCATTGTCCCACCCCCTTCTGGTTCTTCCTCCAGAGGGAGACCCCCGCCCCCGCCCCTTCGTGGGTCCCTTGGAAACGTTGTAGTTCATTGTGATTACAAGTGGCCGTTGGCATTGGAACCATGATCAGAAGGCCCACAGTTGGGCTCCTCACATGCAGGTGTATGTAGACTGTTCAGGGAAGGAGAGGGAGTGTATGTGGAGTGAACAGCAGTGTGGTGTCCATATTACACACGTGTCGCTGGTCATTTTGAAAGAAAGCTAGTTGAGAACGTGGCTATCTTTCCCATCGTTTGAATGCTCTCTTAATAGACACCTACCATGTCCTATGGTCATCTGAATGAATCACATATTAGAAAGGGATGCAATTGAATGCTAGATTATTCATGGTAGTAGGGACAAGGTTAACTTTTAGAGAAACCACTTATTCAAACATATTGAAGTAATAATCCAAAAGAAAGTGTTGAGAGCCCTGAAACCATTTCAAGCCATCGTTTTTGCTCATGTTCTACTGCCAATGACGATGGCAGACAAGATGGACCAAAGATTAGGAACTAGAGAATACTTTCCATTCTGGCTATACAATGCTATGAACATATACAAATTTGATTATCATTAGCTCAATGACTGTTGAGAATGATGTATCTACTAAGTTTATTAGGTAACCATTTGGTTTGCTATTTAGCTAAACAAATGCAATAATTTAATATATAATTTATAAGGCTAGTTTAATTGTTTATAGCTAAGGTTCTTAGCTTTGGATTCATACTAGCGACACTTGGAGAGCTTTTAAAACCCTAAACCCAGGCCACATCCTAGACCAATTACACTAGAATTTCCTGGGGCTGGGACTCAGTTATCAGTATTTTTAAAGTTCACTGGGTGGTTCTAATATGTACCTGAGTCTGGGAAACACTGCTTTATATAATGTCCCTGTTTACTCTTAAATTTAAATGTATTAGGGACTCTAATAATTTTAAAGGGTCTATTTCTTTAACAGAAATAGAGGAACCATTTCTGTTACATTTCTTTTGCTTTAAACAAAAGCAAATCATTCCAAAAGAATAATCTTATTTGTTTTCTTTTACTCCTTTTTTTCTTTTGGCTCTTGGTTTCTCTGTCATATGGATCAATATACAATAGAATAATATATGGCATTAGGTTATCCTAGGTTGAGTCCAGGTTGGGCTATTTGCTAGTTGGTATTGATTGGCAATTTGTTTAGCCTCTAAACTAGGTCCCCCATCTATAGCAGTGATTCTCAATTATAGATGATTTTACCCCCTAAGAGATATTTAGCAATGTTGGAGACATTTTTGATCGTCACCACTTACGGTTGCTTTTGACATATAGTGAGTAGAGGCCAGTGATGTTGCTAAACATCCTACAGTGCACAGAACAGTCTTGGTAGCACACATTCATCTGGTGCCAAATGACACTAGTGCTGGGGTGAAGGAACCTTGATCAACAGCGAGGCTCTGGACTCTGACTGTATATATTCAAATTCTTGCTCCTCTACTTCCTAGCTGTGTAACTTATTATTCCAGCCTGAATCCATCTGAAAATGTAGCTATTATTAGCATCCACCTTGGAGTTGATGTGAGGTTTAAATGGGGTTATGCGTGTGGAACCTTAACACAGTGCAACGTAGCTATTTATCATCAAAATCTCTCTCCCATTCTGCAGCATATATAGCCTCTTGTTAGGGTCCTTGAGATCATGTTTGACCCTATTCTCAACAATCTCAGTGTTAGTATTTCATGACTAGGTGATAAGAGCAGGAGAGGGGTCAAGGGTGGAGCTATCTTTGAAAATGCATCTGCTTCGGATTCCAAGAGGAAATTCAGAGGAGACAATCCTACAGACATTGTCCATTTCCTTCTCCCACCTTTCGTATTCCTTTCCTGGTTTACTACTAGAACTTGACACTTGTTTTGAGGTGGAGTATTCAAATAAACAAGCTTGCATTGGCTCAAATAAAAAGTAAAAAATAGCCCAACCAGTGTGGTTTAGTGGTTGAGCATTTGACCTATGAACCAGCAGGTCACAATTGGATTCCCCGTCAAGGCACATGCCCAGGTTGTAGGCTCTGTCCCCAGTAGGGGGTGTGCAGGAGACAGCTAATCAATGATTCTGTCTCATCATTGATGTTTCTATCTCTCTTTCCCTCTCTCTTCCTCTCTGAAATCAATAAAAATATTTTTAAAAAGTCAAAAATATTTTTGTAAGTGATGATTCTAAGGGAAGATGGCTTAATAGCAATGAACACAGCTCGTTAATAAACTTTTTATATTTAATATTAACAAGGGACTGTTAACTACAGGAGTCTGAAACTTGGGAAAGAATTCCATGGTGGAAATACATTTGGGAATTATTATTATTGCAGAAGGAGTCAAAGTTCCGGAGCAGAATAAAAGTGAGAGAGGGTGTAGGGAGAAGGGGGCTCAGATTATAGCCCAAGAAATACCAACTTGTTTAATATTTATTGAAGATCTACTGTGCACCTGTCACTCACCTTTCTAATCTATAATACTATATTTATTTTTTAGGGAGAGTCACCAAGTGCTATAAGCAAATAAAGTGAAATCCTTAATGAAGACAATATGAGATACTCACAAAAATAGCTTGGAAATCCCAGTACTGATAGCTCTAAATTAATTGGATGCATTTTAAATCTTGTCATTATAATTATATAATCATATTAAAATATGTAAAATTTGAATTTTTTATCTATACATATACTTTTCTCTAGTCATAGTGTGCTTATAACTAGGTGTGTTTTTTTTTAACAACTTTATTGGGATATAATTCACATAGCATATAATTCACCCTCTCAAAGTATACACTGAATGGCCAGATTATTATGATCTCTGAACACATAATAATCTGGCCACTCAGTATATATCCTATATAATAAAAGGCTAATATGCAAATTGTCCCCTCGACCAGGAGTTTGACCGCAGGCAGGCTGGCCAACTGCCCATGTCCCTTCCCCCTGGCCAGGCTGGCCGGACCCCACTCATGCACGAATTCATGCACCAGGCCTCTAATCCTAATATATATATATATATATATATATATATATATATATATATATATATATATATATATATATCGTGTTTCCCCGAAAATATGACATCCTCCGAAAATAAGACCTAGCGCATGGAAAGATAAGACATCCCCTGAAAATAAGACCTAGCGCAACTTTGGGAGAAAAAAATTAATATAAGACACTGTCTTATTTTCGGGGAAACAGGGTAGTATGTATATCAATATACATACTGATGGCCACATTATTATGCGTTCAGAGATCATAATAATCTGGCCACTCAGTGTATAATTCAATGGTTTTTAGTATATTCACAGAGTTGTGCAACCATCACCACAATCAACTTTAGAACATTTTCATCACACCCAAAAGAAACCCTGTACCCATTAGTAGTCACTCCCCATTTACCCCAACCCTTCCCAGCCCCAGAGATTTTTTGTCTCTGTAGATTTGCCTGTTCTGGACATTTCATATAAATGAATTAATTCAATATAAGGTCTTTTGTGTCTGGCTTCTTTTAGTTAGCATCATATTTTCAAAGTTTATTCACATTGTAGTATGTATCAGTAGTTCATCCATTTTTTTAATGTATTTTTATTGATTTAAGAGAGGAAGGGAGAGGGAGAGAGAGATAGAAACATCAATGATGAGAGAGAATCAATTGGCTACCTCCTGCATGCTGCCTGCTGGGGATGGACCCCACAACCTGGGCATATGCCTCGACCGGAAATTGAACTTTAACCTCCTGGTTCATAAGTTGACACTCAGCCATGGAGCCACACCAGCCAGGCAATAGTTCATTCCTTTTTATGACTGGATGATAACCCATTGTGTGGATATAGCACATTTTCTTTATTCATTAGATTATGGACATTGGATTGTTTCCACCTTTGGGCTACTGTGAATAGGAACGTTTGTGACAAGTATTTGTTCGAACACCTGTTTTCAGTTGTGGAGGGTATATATATAGGAGTGGGATTGCTGGATCATATGGTAAGTGTATAACCTTTGGAGGAAGTGCCAGAATGCTTTCCGAGGAGGTCATGCCATTTTACATTCCCATCAGTAGTGTATGAGTTTTGAAATTTCTCCACATCCTTACCAACACTTTTTATTACCTGTCTTTTTTATCCTAACCATCCTAGTGAATAAAACCATACTCACCAGGGGCATATTGTTGTGGTGTTTATATATATATATATATATATATATATATATATATATATATATATATATATATATATATGGTTACTTAATATGCATTTCCAGGTTGCTATCTCTCATAATATTTCAAATGGCTTCAAAATATTCTTTCAAATGGCTATATTATAATTTGCTAGACCATTTTTCTACCTAGAAATACTTGTTTGCAAATTTTTACAATTATAGATAGATTTTCCTGCATACAGATTTTCTAATGTTTGGATTATTTTCTTAAGCTACTTTCAAGACCCACTTTGGTCTTTATACATGAAGGATGCATAAAGAAATATGCAACTGGAAACCGTTGTGTGATAGAGAAAAATATTCTCTAATGGAAAAATTTTTATCATCAAAGGTTTAAACTGGCAGAAAGTTCCCAATAAAGAGAATTTCAACCTAGTAATGAACACAAGCTTGGCCACTTAATTCATCTTTAAACAGAGATAGAAAGGTCCTCTCTAATTTCTACTTGAATAAAAATGAAACTCCTAACGTATACTATTGATATGGGACACTTAAATTTATTATTACCTAAAATAGATTTTTATTGTATAAAAAAAACAACAAAAAACACCAGAAAATATAAGCAAAAGGAAGGAAGGAAAACTCTCCCTCCTGGCAATAATCATTGCCTCTTTCTACAGGGTTCCTTGA